TATATATATATATATATATATATATATATATGTATACACACACACACACACACACACACACGTTTACTGAATTGTCTGAGATATTTCTTAGTATATGCTTAATATGAAATGAATTTTGCTTACTGAAAAGAATTCTGTTTACTATCAACATAAACCAGAACTATCCATTATTGAAATCAGAGATTTCTCATGTTTATTTAATTTTTTTAAATGTTTGGTGTTATGTATATATGTTTTACATAGTTTATATATGTAGATCCCATTCGTTCCATCCCAACTCTTGTCCACAATTTCTGATTATATGTTTTTAGAACATTTTTCTTGGGAGGTCTATGCCTCCGTATTGTATTTTCATTGTTTGCTGTCCTGCGCTGTGCTACCCAGTTCATGCTCTGATGTCTTAGGCTGAACATTGATTACAAATGATGGAATCTCAGTTGGAAAGAGGTAAACTTAAACCTAAACATTTTCTAGCAATGGGACTTGAAAATTGCTAAGGTTGGTTGAACCAGACCAACCACAATAAATGACTTATAGAAAAGAAGCCGCATATTACACAGTAGAACTTCAAGTAGAGTTTTCTAAAACAACTGTTGGGAGCGACTGACCATTAGTGCTCCCTTTCAGAAGGCTACTTACTTGCCGAGAACACTTAGTTTCACGCAGAGCTTTAAGGCTTCCATTCCAGTGAAGAAGCTGAAACACGATCATAAGCTCCTATGGGGGGTGGGGAACGGGGGAGAGAAACAAGGAGGATGCATTCAGAAGCCCAGGACTAGAATCTGAATTCCAACCAAGTTTAGAAAATGTATAGATTTTTATTAACAACTAGTTACTGGATTGCTTTAAGGCACATATTTTTTTCCTGAAAATAATGTGGGATTTGGTGTGTACATAGTGGATTAGATTCAAAACTACCGTTTTTCTGCAAAACACCATACAAATACTGTTATACATTTTGGTCTAGAGCAGTAGAACTAAGCCTGACGGTTATTTCTCCACTTTTACAAGAGCTGGTTTACCTCTAAACCTCTACTTCTAAAAATTGCTTTAGTAATAAATCATAGCAAGCATCAAACTTTTTTTTCCATTAATGTTGCAATATTATACATATTTATCGGAAGTGCATCCATGGAAAGAAATAGGGCTTACTTTTGGGATGCTACACCTTTTAAATATACTGTCTTGCCTTTTTTTCCTTTAAAAAAAGGCAATAACTAATCAATGGAGATTCTAAATTGACACCTGACACCATTTTTAAGATTTACATACATCTTTAGTTAATTTATTATTGATAATCTGTTTTATTCTATTTTATACAAAATTATGAAGCACCTCTGATTTTAGCATTAATAATAAAAATCAAGCTTTTCTTAGATTACCGTGGAAACATTTACTACAATCAATTATTACATAAATAAACATGCTTCCCCTGTTACTTTGGTGCAATGGCAGTTGAAAAAATAAAGAAAGCCCTGAAGCGATTGTGGCAGCAGCCTGAATGTTGGAATTGGACTGAAACGGACCTTACACGAAAGGAAATATTTTCAGTGGTCCACTCTGGGAGCATGGAAAGTCAAACATAACAATTTGGATTGCTTAGTTTTTCCAATGCATATTAAAATCATGTCAGGCAGGGGTAACTAAAATGCGACTTTTTCCAGTTGGACTCCAAAATGGAAAGCAGTGTACAAGGAGAGAAATGTCAATTTGCAGACTTTTTCTTCAAAAAAAAATACCAGAAAAAATATCAGTATGGGTGTGTATATAACCACAGATCTCAGTTATTGATGAAAGTTCATTTTCTACGGTGCTGAAATGAAACACTTCAAATGCCACTTTATCCTTTATGCTGAACAGTAAGGTGAAAGGTCAGAGAAGAAGGAAACAGCAACAAGAACAACCACAACATAACTTTAAAGGAAGCCGTATCTGTAATTGGAAAAATTAAGGCTGCTTCCTGAACACTTAGTAGGAAGTGGTTTTCCAATGACTTCAGAAAAAATATGCTTGTATATCTTTAAAATTCTGGGCAGCCTGGATCACATAAAGGCCACAGCACATACCTGAAATTCTAGCATTGTTTTTCCCATGTTTGATTCTAGCATATAGTGATATGCTCCAATACTTGTGCTGGGATCATCTGCATCATTTAAAGTACCCTTTAAAGGAAAAAGAGATAAAATAAAACTGAATCATGAAAGCTCATTTTTAAGCAGAGAAAAAATGTATTCAGTCTTTACACCTCATATATGTATGAATCTTTTCCAATAAAAGCAGTGACATAAAACTTACACATTTATCAAAACTATTTTAAGCCTTAACTAAGTGTACTTTCTTGGAATTTTCCACATCTTCCTTTGGTATTTTAAAAAAGAGTTTTTGTGCTGTTAGTAGATATGTTCTGATATAAGCCAGCTGTGGTGGATCTGATTTTCAGTTTCTGCCGGACAGCAGCAGATTTTTAAGCAAACATTTTCCATAAATGAGAGAATCTGCTTGGTGTCCCCAAGGCCAATTTATCTAGCTATTACTCGATTACTTAATACATGCAACTTACTGATTGGAATTCTTAAAGTAGCTCACAGAATAATAATGAAACAGATCAGAGGTGTTGGCAGGTGGGGTCAAAAAAGTCAAGATGGAGGCTGGGACAACACATTGGAAGCACAACCCTTTTCACATGTAAAAAAAGGGGTGGGTGGGTGTGTATTCACAACCTCCATCTTGACTCTTGTCCCGGAAGAGGGGCTAGATGAGGAATGGTGTGTGTTCATCATATGCATTTCTCTCTTTCCCTTTCTTGCACACACGTGCCTGGCATGAGACAGCTGCCTGTTGGTGGAAGGGAGACCACTTGGTAGAACTTTTTTTTGCTTTCTCTCTGCCTTTCTCATTCTCCCTCCCCTTTTTTGAGGGGTTAAAATTCGACTCAAAATGATTGTTATCAGTGGACTTGTGGAGTTTAGTATATGTCAAATTCAACACAGAAGGGTTGAACAGTCAAAGAATCTCCCACTCAGAGTCTGCCTCTTAAATCATGAGAGCACAGTTATCTTGTAGTCTCTTCCATGGGTCAATACATCTTAGTATCATAGAGCCGCATCCAAGGGGAGAAAGCGGCTGCTTGAATCAAAGCTTTATACCCAGTGATATTGTTTTCCATTTTGGGGGAACCATCTGAAGATGAAATATTTGCTGACTTTTTTTTCCTTTTCTTTTTAATCATCTTTAATATTCTGGAAAAGCTGTGCAAAACTGAACAGAGCATTGTCCACAAAACAGTTTCTGCACTGGAACCGTGAGCAGATTTATAGCTTTGGAAATGCAAGAACATTAGCACACTACTGCTACAATATTTATGCTGGCTTTTAAATATCCCTGAGGACAACTGCCTAGAACTCTGGGATTTTAAGCTTTTGCCTTAGAAAATTTCCGTTGAAAAAAATACATATTGCATTGAATGAACTTTCTTTGAAAAATTGCATGTAAATGAATCATGGCTCAGTTTCCCCAAATGTATAGTATTGTTCTCAAAAATGGAATGGGATTCTTAAAAGCCTTTTTCAGGACTTGTAAAGAGGTTTGGGGGGAAAAAAGCTTTCTTTCACTTGCAGATGTCCTCTACTTTATAAATCCACCATAACTTTAAACACCTTCTCCATCTACCCAGAGTCACATAAGCAAAATGTTCAGTAAAGGAGCAACAGTGTCAAGTTTATTTTATTAGAGGGCACCTCTTTCCAAGTAATTCCAACACTCCTGTTCCCTTCTTATCAACTGTTCCTTCTGCAAAGATGGGAATATTTCATTAATTTTTCTGGAGACTGAAGTAATATATTCACCAGAGGTCAGCATATTTCTTTTCTTTCTATAAATTTTGCTGCATTATTGATTAGATTAGCCACATGCTTTTACTGAAATAGTTTTCTGTTCCTACTACTAATAACTGTAAGGTATAACATGGCTCCAGTAAGATTATCTTTATCCATCAACTCCCAACTCATTAGATATACTTCCATCATGATGATGGGGATGGAGAGGAGATGACTTCATCCACTGTCCTTTAGATTATTTTACTTGTCAATCACAAGAAAGAGGCAGGAACCAAGTGTGCCTATTGAATATATAACCAGAACGGGCAACTCTTTTTTATGTTGCACTTGAATTGCACTAAATATTTATTGGGATGGGGGCTGCAGGGGGTGGAAAGGTAATGCAAAGTGGGTGAGATCTTCTGCTTTCTCTGATTTTTTTTCTTTTTAAGAGGAAGATCCTGCCTGCCTGCCTGCCTGCCTGCCTGCCTGCCTCCCTCCATTTTAGAGTTTGCCCAATCTCCTAACGGCAGGACACCATGCTTCTAAGATTTGGCAATTCTGGCCAGGGGTCTCTGGGGCTATGATAAGGCATTCTGGGGCCTCAGATCGCCTACTCTTGTTATATGTATAGGGTTTCCATATATACAGAGTTAATTGTCCCTTAGAAACATTTGGAACATCAAAAACCAAAATTATATATTTCTCTTCTAATGTTTATATATGCAGCATTAAAAAACTGGAACCCTTGGCTGGCATATAGAAAACCTTATAGGGGTTTCTAATGGGGTTTTATATAAAACATTAATTTAGAACTGTTCATACTCTTATTTCAAGGGAATGAATGCATTTAGTTTTTAATAATATTTAAAATTCCCTATATTATACCTTGCATTTACTTGATTTTTATATCTATGGTAATATATAAGTAGGGAACTTTACATATACATTGCCTGTTCAAGATAAGCATAATGTTTATTAAAAATTGTATCTATTAGTAAATGCAGAAACTTCCATGATAGAACACAGTAGCTGATGACAACATACAGTAATTGTAAACCGACACGTGAAAAATATAGAGGTAACCTCAAATGCAGATGTTAACATCTGATTCTGTTTCACAAAAACTCCTGCCAACTTATTTCCTTGCCAGAGGCAGTTAAATAATAAAGAATAAAGGACTGAAACAGAAATACAGGAAAGTGAATCAAAGGGCTCAGATACTTTATACTTCTGTTTTAGCCTTGGGACCATTACTGACTTTCCTTATATTTTATAATTGATTTCAAGAAAGTATATATTCTGTGGAGTCCTTGGGGTTCTCTGAGCTTGGTTCTTTTCTTGCAAACATTTCATTACCTGGCCAGATAACATCTTCAGTGCTAAAATGGGAAGAGGTTTGCT